GGTTAGATAGTTAGAAATTAGAATGCTGGTTGGTAAAAAAAGAAGTCGCCCATCTACCCTCCTCTGTTCTGCACCACTCATGCAGGTTGTTACTTATGCGTTTCCATTGCGACACAATTTTTGTGCCAATTGAAATGAAACTTGGAACAGCATTTCAACCAAGGCCTTCCTGCCAGAGCCAGCAGATGTGAAGCATCAGATCTATCTCTGTGGTCCTCCAGAGGCCTGTTTATTTAAACTTGTAGGTATCTATCTCTGTAGTCCTCCAGAGGCCTGTTTATTTAGACACGTCAGTAGATCACCGCCAGTGGAGGAGCTGTCTCTGTCAATGATTATGTTTCTTGTGTGTCGAATAAATTAGACTTAAAAACAATGGAGCAAAGCAAGAGTTCAAGTTCTCAAAAGCATCACTACTGCTATGTGCGTGCTGAGAGAGCATAGATCTGACCACAATTATGACCAGGTTTGTGCAATCAAAAGCCGAACACATCACTAGTGGGCCCTGGCCTTAAGTAGTCATCAGCATATAGGTTTGGGTAACAGTCCACTCATAGACGGTGAAACCTCTGAGTTTTTTATTATTATTATTATTTTATTTTTTTCCCACAACACACCCTCCCGTGCTGGTAGCGCTGGTCAAAGCAGACACTACTAGCACCAGGGGGTAGGCTCCATCTATTGGTGGGGAGCATCACCTACTCGAAATCGGGTCCAGCGTCCCATATGGCATATACAAGATAATCCAGACGAGCGTCCAAAAAGTAACTGAGAGCTGCCCCTCAAATATGAAATGCATGTACAGTAAAAAGCCAGATATGTTCATTGAGTGCTCCCAAAGATGGGGGCTTAGCTAGCTCTCTATGGCAAACTCCAGAGGAAATGGAAGAGATGCCGAGCCATCCGAAACAGCAAGGAGATTTGGCTACTATAAAGGGGGCAAGTTGGCTATTATAAAGGGCGCAAGGAGATTCTTCACTAGTTACAAAAGTTGAGGGGGCTATTATAAAGGGGGAAAGTTGGCTATTATAAAGGGGGCAAGGAGTTTCTTCACTAGGTAGTTACAGAAGTCAAGGGGGCTCAACACACCATTCTCAAAATGGAAAAACTTTCGAGACGTGTCAGATTTTTAAAAGATTCTAACTTCTGTGAGCTTTTTTTAGGCCCCTTCGCCACACAGCAGTCTCGAACGGGCCAACTCGTGAAAGCTGGTGGTGGAAAAACGGCCCAGAGAAGAGGCCCGCTCTCAAAATTTGAGGCCAGCTACAGGGAGGCCGGAAACTCTTGAAACTGGGACTCTTGCAGGCAGTTCTCTTTTTTTTTTTTTTTTGTGCCAGAATTTTGACAGGTTGTAAGGGGACATCCATTCTCTCGAAAAACTCATCCGTGTTTTTTTTTTTTTTTTTTTTTTTTTTTTTTTTTTTGACAGTGGTGTGGTGATGTCGCATACCGTAAAGGTGCAGACCAGAACAAGAACCGACCTCTCTCACAAAGTACAAGATAGCGTAGCGGAAGACTTAGATACCAATCATCCGAACAATCAATGTTGCAATGCAGCCCCAAACACACATCATCATCATTTCACGGTGGGAAGGGGCCTGGCGCTCGCACAGGAAGAATGCGCCAGTCCCCGCCATACACAGACGAAGAAGAGGGGGGTTAGACAAAGAAGAGGGGAAGATGGGAATGTCGTCAACACCAAGTCTGCGATACAGGTCCCAAATAATCCCCGTCAAATGTCTGAATCACAATGTCGAGTCTGGATCCAATGTCGTCAAGTCTCAAGTCACAGCTCTCTCTCTCTCTCTCTCTCTCTCTCTCTCTCTCTCTCTCTCTCTCTCTC